CCATCTCCCATCTGATTTGGCCCCCATCCAGTGGCCCACACGAGCCCCACAGCGCCCACGGCACCCCACATGCCGGCCGTGGGGATCCTGCGGAGGAGACAGTCAGGCCCTGCAGGGACCTGGGGCCCAGCCGGCAGCAGCACTCCCGCCCCAGCCTGGGTGCCCGGCCTCCACCACTCTGCCTCCACGTTGGGGCCTACGCCACCTCCTAGCACACGGCCTGCTACAGGTGTGAGCTCTCGCCAGACACGGAGAGGGAGAGGGGGACAGCACCCCGGGGTGGCTGCGCCGGGGTCCCGGCTCCTCGGCGCTCCTCGCAGGGTCTGGGACTCGAACCGCAGAGCTGGCTCTGGAGGAGCGGTCTGTGGGACCCTGGGCACTGGTACCCTGGCAGGCCAGGCTGGCCACTGCCCTCTCCGTCACCGTGCCGCAGTCACCTGGCCAGGCCGGGTGGGACGGCGTCCCGGTGTACACGCGGGAGCCCAAACAGCATGGCAGTCGCTCACCAAGGACACTGGGGGCGTGCCTGGCCGCCACGTCTGCGGCCGGAACCGTGGAGGCTCGGTGCTGGGAGCCTGGTGGCAACTGCGCGGCTTCCTCCAGGCCGGGCTCACGGGCTGCGGGCTCTGGACGGGCCGCCACGGGCCGCCCACAGAGGGGCGCATGTGACAGAAGGCTGGGGAACGGGTCCTGGGCTGGACGAGGCCTGCAGACCTCCCTGACGCGGCACTCCTACGCTGGCACTCAGGGTGGGTGGGCGCAGAGCAGGACCCCGGGGTGGTTCTCACGGAGAAGAGAACGAAATCCTACACAAACCCTCGACCGGCCAGCGGGTGGTGTGGACGTTACATACTGGGTCTCACACGGCCAGCTGTGTGGTTTGAGTCCCAGACCTGGCGGCTTGAACAAGCCAGGCATGCGTGAGCACCCAAGTTAGCAAGGAGAGTGGAGAAGGGACTGTGACACGGCCACTGCCCCCGCGGTGTGACTTCTCAGTTTCCCTCCTTCTCCCCCCCCATGAGCACACGTGCCTATGGAAACAACTTAAACAAAAAACCCTACAGAGCTAAGTCCTGCCAACAACCACACGAGTCTGGAAACGCACCGCCCTCGGCTGGACCTTCTGAGATCCCGGTCTAGGACTGGGGTCAGCTGTGCTGAATTCCTGCCCCTCAGAAACGGAAAACGAGCATTTGCAGTTCTAAGATGCAAACTGGGCCCATTTGTTACACAGCGTAGGTAACTACTACAGATCCCACGCCAGTTAGGTGAACCTGAACCTGACCTCACCTCTCCCCATCAGTGAGCGAGGGGCCCGGATGTGGGAGAGGGCTCCCGCAGGTGGAGAGAGAGCAGGAGGAATGACCCCACACACCCCGCTTCACCAGACAGCCCCGAGGACAGGCCAGGCGCCTGCTGGGCACCCCAGACACAGCCTCGTCCACAGCCTGGCTGAGGCAGGCAGTGCTGACCAATAGGGACCAGTCCCCACAGCCTGGTGGCCTCCCGCCCATCCCTCACCCACCTTGGCACCCCGTGGGCGCACATCATGGGGGTACTCATGAAAGGGGTCTCCACCAGGCAGCAGGACGCCCAGCCGACAGCCACGCTGACCACTGGCCCCAACCGGCCTCCCCTCTCAGACCAGGGCACCAGGGCCCAGGCCACTTCCTGGGCCCCCAGCCAGAGCGGGCTCCAGGTCCTGAACCCCCGCACTGCGCCCCAACCCCACGCCGCGGGCTTCTTTGCCTTGCACGGGAGACGGGCCAAGGATTCGGATGACGCCTGGGCACTGGGGACGCCCGCTGACTGCGGAGGGCGAGGGGGGCTGCTCTGCTGGGCTCTCAGCTCCCAGGCCGGCCTCCCTCTCCCCATCGCCAGTCTGTGTCCCCTCTCGCCCGCCTCCCAGGCCCGGGGACCGACGGCACCGACGCCGCACTTAAATGCGTTCCTCTGCACGCCTGGGGGACGCCAAGCCCCGTCTCCCTCGCAGGGTCACCCCAGTGCCACCCCACTTCCCTGGCGGAGTCACTCCAATGCCAGCCTGCTTCTCTGACTTCCCAGGAAGGGTCACCCAATGCCACCCACCTCCCTCGCAGAGTCACCGCCGGACCACCCCGCCTCCCGCGTGGGATCGGGGACAAGGGCAGCCGCGGGTGTCACGCTCCCTGTTCAAATCGCAGAACCCACACCAAAGCCGAGAGTGCGCCTGCGCCCAGGGTCCCCCGGGGTGGCGGCCCGTGCGGGTCCCGGGGTAGCGGAAGGTCACTGAGGCTGGGGGCGGCTGCACAGCGACACGCCGCCTTGCCGGTCCGCGCCTGTTTCCCGCCTGTCGCCGGGTCACGCTTGGAGCCCCAGCCCGGCCACGGGGCCGG